TATACGAGAGTAAAAATAATAGACAAAGTGTGGCAGAATGCCATCATATTATGTCACTCATGTCTGTCCATCATATAAGCTCAAAAAGGTAGGAGCCGATGACAGAGCAGGAGGGGCTGAGTCAAAGAGAGGGTTGAGGAGTTAGAATGGCAGTTATGAGGTTAGAGAGAAGCAGGAGATAGATAGGGATTTGAAGAGGGAAAGTTAGGAGATTGAATTGAGAAGGTTAATAAATAGATTGAACAGTTGGAGTGATAGAGAGACTAGGAAATGAGTTATAAGGAACGAAGAATAGATAACTAGTAAAAGTATATTGTTGTGGATAAAAATACATTCAAACCAATGCATAACCAAATCCTGTTTAATGAATGATCCAGAACATCTGTGATTTTCCTTTTGTGATTTACATAACAATAAAAGAACATCTATAATTTATTCCTGTGATTCTCAAAATTAAAAGTTCAATAAACCTGTTATAGTTGGCAGCACACGTGTCTGAAATACGTATTTGGTATTGTGTGAATAATACCTGGTGGCAGCGTGTAAAGAGGAAACGCATCCAGAGGGTGAACCTATGTTTAAGGGAGAAAAAAACAAGGGACACTGGGTGGACGCGACACAAAGCAACAGTGGTTTGTGAACACAACAACCAACCAGTTAATTGCTTCAATTAGTAGGCCCTGACCAAGACCACAACTGTAGGTCAGGGGGGCTTGGATGTCATAGGAAAGAAACTATGAGACTAGGCTAGGAATGTTGAGACAAAGGTGGAGTCTGTGTTTGGGGTTTTATTGACTTGCTTACCTTGCAGACTCATAGCTAGTATCTATTACTTTAAATTATCTACAGTAGTCCTGCTCCTGTGCTAACAAACCATTCTCCTATTGTCCATTACCTGAATCCTCACCTGGCCATTCAACTATGCATAAATAGTCGCACTCTAATGTGTTAGAAAATGGATTTGATACATGAAAGCTCAAATTAAAATGTCACCATCTTTAAGGTACAACATTTCTTGACTTGGGGGTGGTGGTGGGGTCTGAGATGCTTGTACAGACGAACATGGCCACTCCTTTGAAAAAATAGGAAGCCTAAGAATGTCTGGGGGGGACTTCCCTCTCTCTTTCGCCAACTTTTTTTGCGGAAGAAGAAAGGTTATCAAATGTAACTTTCGTAACAAGTTGGGTCTGTGGAAGTTTCCCTTTTTCCAAGTAATTACTTGTAGTACAGGAGCCACGTCCTGTTCCTCATCTGGCCTCCAGAAAAATCATCCCACATCCTAAATCACCATAGATGTCTTTTGATTTTCAAGATTGATTGATTTGATTTTCCCACTTGCCACCAGAGGGAGCGTGAACCATTGGCCTATTTCGACTTGACGTGCCACCAAAAGTATCAACCTGCCCTCGCTTCTTACTACTGTTCCCTTGGGAGTTCGAAGCAGCCGTCGTCGTGCATCACGGGAAATGTAGTCTTTCTTTCCCATCTCCTGTCCCTTTTCCTCCAGTTTGCGCGCACCCAAGACTACACTTCCCAGGAGGCTGCGGAAGGGCGGTTAGATCACCTGATAGCTCACCGCTGTTGAGCAAAATGGCGATGCTCATGATGCGGCGCTGCCGGAATCTGCTTTGGCTTGGAAATCGGAACGTGGGGAATGTCGCCGAACTCCATGTCCGGGAGGGTCCGGTGGCCGCTAGCGCGCTCTGCCGGAGTATAAGGGAAACCACAACGAAGCAGAACCGGTATGACAATGACTGGTCGGGGGGGGGGCGAGTAGCTGAAGGACGAGGGTCTTGTTTGCCTGCCTTCATGCTTTCCTTGCAGTAAGATCGTGTTGTTTGCGCGTTAATTTTACACGATATCGGGCCCTTTCCGTTACATGAAACGCCTGCTCATTTGAGGTGAAAGTAAGATAAGGTAACTTTTAAGTGAAAGTCAAAAATAAAAACGGTCGATTCTCGTAGCGAGAAAGGCAACTAAAAGCACCCGGAGAATGAGAGAATTCAGAGTCACCGTTCCCTAACTGGAAGATATCCAAGGACCCCAGGGACGTTGTGCAGCCAGCTATGTAGGCTGAGGACCCTTCCACAACTCACATTTTGTGAGGGAAAAGGCATTCGTTGTTATGTGTGAATGTGAAAACTATGCAGGCGTTTATGTTACTGAAGATATAACTGCATGAAGCTGCAGCGAGCTTTCAAATAAATGTACAGTCCGCACTGTTAAGCACTCTTGCTTTCCTGTAAGAAAACTGTGTATGTGGAGGAGGGTTTAAATGGCAGTTCCATCCAAACCACGTGTGGTAAAAACATGTTAATATGGTTTGTTTATAAGTGCATCCATGCTTAACAAGATAGACTTGGTGATGTTCTTTTACATCAGGTTTATCCAGGGGTTCTCCCACTCCACCCACAACCTCAAGGCAAGATGAGCAATTTTATAGATGTCTGCTCATCCCAGGATTTTTGCTGTCAACAGCTGTCAGACAGCATAACTGTTTTGTTTTTGCATCAGGAAGTTTTGGACACAGTCAGTGAGGAATAAATCAAAACAATAACCAACAATAAATTGTAATTAATCTGAAGTACGCTACTTTTACTGTGGTATGGAACTTCACTGTGGCATGATTGTAATGGTTATAATGTAGCAAAATTACAAACACCTGAACTTTTCTTGTTTTCTTTTAAAAAGTTATTTTAATACGTATTTCAGAGGGAAGGTCTATTACGTTTTGATGTATTTGCTTAATGCTGTTCTGTATGCCACATATCTATCAGAGTGATCTAAGTGCTTCTCTTGTTGCTATGGCATAAGCTTGATTTCACCACTGAAATATTACATTTTTGTCTGTCTTTGTGGAAGTCCAGATAATTACTTACAGAACCTGTCAAGCAGTTCATGCAGTAAAGGTGACTCTGTTCCCTGGCTCATAAAAAGATTATGGATGTGAGAGCAGCAATTACTTTTCAGCTGATAGGGAGGTGCTTGTTCTTGTTCAGTATGTTCAGAGAGCCATTTCCTTGAGCTAAAAAGATGATTTCTCTATCATCTGCCAGACTACTGATCTGTATGCTAATGCAGTGCTAACAGTGCTCTGTAGACCCACCTTTCTCAGCTTGAAAGTGGCCACCTGACAGTATATCCATAATTGAATATGCCACTTGTCTGTTGGAGATTTCTCAAACTTAGAAGGAAATCAATTAATATTTATCTTATATTTTATCATCTCCATTGCCTACAAAGTCAGGCACCTGTCCAACAAAACCTTCCTCTGTAGACAAGTCTTACTACTGAAATGCACATCTTTAAAATGATGAAAGCCTTCATGTTGTGCATTTTTTTTCCTGCTGTTTAGTGACATGCTTCCTCTTTGGATAATTTTTAGCTGTGTTGAATGAGAACATTTCAAGAGACCTCTCACCATTGATTATATACTAGTGGTGGGTTTCTGGCTTGCTGTTGAATTCAGATGTTGTAGATGTTTGTATTTTTCTCCAGCTGCTCATTAAATTTAAATCCTGTTTCCTTACCTAATGAATTTATTTATTTGTTTATTTATTTATCCCATCTTATAATGGCCATAATTAATTTAAACTACTTGCCATTTGGCTTTCTTTCAGTGATGTTTCATGGGCAGCAGTGGTGGGCCTGGAAATTCATGCACAGATTTGCTCCAACTCAAAGCTTTTCTCTGGCTCTCAAGTTCAATTTGCAGCAGCACCTAACTCATCAGTGTCTTTCTTTGATGCCTCTTTACCAGGAACTCTGCCAGTAAGTTAAAATTCAATCGATGTTGCAGTCTTTACTTTAAACAAAAAGGATAGTCCTTATCCCTTTTCTTTCTCTCCTGACTTTGAAAGAGAAAAAGAGAAAGAGATCCAGGAAAGGCAGTTGCTATTAAATCTGTGGTATTCATTGTTATTATTATTATCATCATCATCAGTCATACAAAACAATGAGTGGTTAAGCTATTCCTGTCCAAGTGGCTAGATTACTGTGGCCTTTACTAAATCTGGCTTGTATAATTGCCTGTTTACAACTCCTACAGTGGAGTCTCGACTTACGTTCAACTCCACTCATGAACTTTTCGACTTACAGACTTCTCCGGCTGCAAAGTTTCACTTTGACTTGTGGCCAGAGAATCGATCTACGGACCAGAAGGGTGAGGTGGGGAAAGCGCCAAATTCAAGTTTGGCACTTTCCCTGCCTCCCACTTCCAGTCCGTAGGCTGCAGGTCTAAGCCCCGAAAGCCCAAAGCTGACAGCGGGTGCAGGGGGGCTTTCGGCTTCAAAGCTGCGAGTGAGGGGAGGCGGGGAAAGCTGAAAGCCACTCTGCACCCGGTCTCAGGTTTGGGCTTTCAGGGCTTAGAAAGCTGGACCCACTCACCTCTTGTCTCCTGTCCCCGATGCCCAGAGGACACCGGGGACAGGAGACGCCGGTGGGTACACCTTTCTAAGTTCTGAAAGCCGAATGCCGATCCGCCCAAAAGCCGCTCCGCACCCGCTGCCGGCTTTCGGGGCTTAGAAAGGTGCACCCACTGGCCCCTTGTCTCCTGTCCCCAGTGCCCCTGCCTCCTGTCCCCATGGGAATGAGAGGCAGAGGACAGTGGGGACAGAAGGCAGAGGGCAGTGGGTGCAGCTTTGGAAGCCCCGGATTTTTTTCTCCGCCCTGTTACGGATTAATGGGTTTTCAGTGCATTCCTATGAGAAATGGAGCCTTGACCTACGGAATTTTTGACCTGCGGCCACAGTTCCAATACGGATTAATTCCGTAAGTCAAGGATCCACTGTACTTTATCACTGAGACAAAAGAGTAGCAGTGTTTGCACAACGTAAGTGATGGCATGTACTAGGCCATATATTGCACAGCAGACCACCAAACTGCGTGTTGTCTTCTTTATTTCTGGGATTTTTTTTGTTTGTTTTCTCCTTGCCTTTCCCCCCTCAGCTTCTGTTTTAACTTGGGCAAATGGGAAAGCAAGATCAGTTATGAGGCACAATTGTGGGTTTTGACATCATAACAAAACATGGTTTAAACATGTAGGGTTTCTAAGCCATGAAAAACCTCTGAGTTCAGATTGTGTCCTGCAACTGGCTAACACAGCATGACTTTTTAGCAAGTTCAGTTCTTATATTGAAACAGCCTAGGTCCCAACAAATCACTTCATGGTTGTTCTAAAATGCCCATGTATTCAATGTGCAATATTGAATTTCAGAAGTTTTTCTCTTGAGCTGCATAATTTGTTATTTAGAAATAGACTGGAGATGTATATCGGATGTTTTGCTGTTCACAACTGATCATTTCAATTTGGCCTCTTATGGGAATGATAGAGATAGCCATTGTTTATTACTAAATGTATATAGGTACCCCATAGAAGACATTTCCTTCAGAGCTCACAAATACTGAACTAAGAATGCATTCTAAAATAACAGTAGCATAATTTTAGTAGTTCAAAATCAAACTTTTGAAACTCAAAAGCTCAAAATACAATTAAGGCGAGAAGGCAGTGCAAGAAAATCATAAGAATGAATATGAGTACTCAAATGCTATAAAAATGATGATAGGGAATCTTTGGAGAGGCTGTTACATAACCAAGGTGAGACCAGCAGAAAGGCCGTTTGCTAGGAGTCAGTTGCCTCACCTCTTTTGACTAGTGGCACTCAGAGCAGGGCCTCTGAAAAAGTCTTAAGTTTTAATGAGAGGATATCCATCTTAGCCCTATTCAGGCTTTTTATGAAAGTTAATTTAAAAGTGTGAGTAGGGAGAGAGTTCTAGCACCTCCTCTTCACCTGTCTTTGTCTTGCCAGGGAAAGGAACTCCCTGATTAGGAAGGATTCTGCTTCATGTGGAGTTTTTCCACGTAATTAGGGATTGTGGAAAAATTAGGCTTCCTGATCACATGGAGAAGATTTGTCAGGAGACAGTGATAGGTAGATGGTGGAGCTAGAATTCTCTCCATTCTCACACTTTCAAATTAATATTTTTTAAAAATACCTCAGTAGGGCTGTTTATTTTTGTATGTTATCAGTAGAATTCATGCTGTTGCAAAAACAAAACCACAAGAAAGAAATGAGAGTGTAGTCATTTCTGCCTCTCATGGAACAGTATGGTTGAGAAGGACCTCAGCCTGAGGTACTAGAAAGCTGTTGTCCAACAAAATGGCCTACCTTCCTCAGGCCAAAACAACATTTGAGTGCGATGTGGTTCAGTACGTGGAGTGTTGGGTGTTGATATGCTAGGTCTTATTTGAAATCCTTGCTTAGTGCTTGCTGTTTATCTCTACCAATTTCCTGTGCTAAAGAGTGACAGGCAGATCTGTACTTGAACTTACGGGCAAGGGAGCCTGCAGGAGTCCTGCCATATTCTTATATAAATTTCCTGTATTTTGGGAGAAAATTATGTTTCTTTTGTATTTGCTCCCTAGTGGGAAGTCTGGAGCCTAAGCTGGAGCAGACTTCTTTTTGAGATAAGAGCTCCTGATTAGTAGTCAGTTTGATGGCTCACCTGCTCTCCTTCACCACCAACAGAGACTTCTTCTCTATGTAGGGCGGGGGGGGGGAGGTTCTTTTTTTCCCATTGTGTGGTAGATAATCTTAAAGGGGTATTTTAAAATGTTAGTACTCTTGTGTTAGAATGTCATATGGAATTTTATTGTTCCATTTTACTCCTACAGCTTCGCAGTATTTATTTTTAGGAAAGACTGATCCTCCATTAGCAATGTAGATGTGGGCCCTGTGATTTTAAGAGAGTGCTTTAGTGTGTAAAAAAGTCTCATTAGTTGCATAAGTAAATTAATAGAGTATTACCTAAATGTAATTTGCCTTCTGTTGCTGTAAGTCAGAAATGCTATCTGTTTTAAAACTAAGAGATGAAAGAGGAAGGTTTTTTTTTAAGGAAATAAAACAGCAGATGCATGTGTAAATCCCATTGGTTTTTAAAGTCAAGGCTATTAATATTTATGGAATAGATAAAGTTTATGTCAGAAAGTAACAACAGTCAAGTGTAAGCCAAAGATGACAACGAAGAAGAAAATCCTTAAGCATTCCAATTTTAAAATTGTTGTAGTGGTTAAGAGACTGAACTGCTGGATAGCCCAGTGGTTTAGGCGTCTGGCTGCGGAGCCAGAGATTGGGAGTTCAGTTCCCTATGGTGCCTCCTTGACAGGGGATGGACTCGATGATCCAAAGGGTCCATTCCAGCTCTGCAGTTCTAAGATGATGATGATGATGATGACTGAGCCAGAAATCAGGAAATCTCTGGTTTGCATCTCACTTCTTCCATGGATTCATTCGTTTCGTTTAGTCGTTCAGTCATGTCCGACTATTCGTGACCCCATGGACCAGAGCCAGACCCTCCTATCCTCCACTGCCTCCCAGAGTTGTGTCAAATTCCCCTTCACAGATTGCTGCCTTGTCGTGTCGAAGGGGCTTGAGTAATTCAGAGAAGCTATGGGCTATGCCGTGAAGGGCCACCCAAGACGGACAGGTCATAGTGGAGAGTTCTGACTAAACGCAATCCACCTGGAGTAGGAACTGGCAAGCCACTCTAGTATCTTTGCCAAGAATGCCCCATGATCAGAAACAAAATGGATTCATTAGGGACAGCCATAATCAGTTTCTCCTCCTCCATTCTCAGACCTGTAATATAGGGCCAATTTCAGGCAATTTACAGAGCTGTTGCAAACACTGCTTTGTGTATCAAGCATTTTGGTATCCCAAAATACTGTACTCCTCAAAAAATTGTAATAGTGTTTTCACCAGGACATAGGAGGGGGTGATAGCAGGGAATTGGTTTGAAAGAATATGGCAGATAGCACTGGCAGAAAAATGAACACATGCTTGTAAACTGTCAAAAGGGATAGCCAAGGCAGATGCTTTATTTACAACATGGAATCCCCCCATCATATACATTGTGGAAGTTGCAAGGGAATTTAGACCAAAAGGACACTGCCTGGAATTTTAATGGGATATGGTGTAAACTCCAAAGTGAGCTAAATTCTGGAGCCAATATGCACTGTACTTTGAGTGCATATTGCCTGTACCCACAGATTTGCACTGCACCTACATGAATGTTTGTATTACTGTTATGGAATTGTTTAGTTTTGTATGTTTGCCTAGAAATGTAAATATAAAAAAAGAAAGAAAAAGAATAGTGTTTTCCACCATAATCCCTGCCTCTTACTGATGGCATCCCAACACATTTTCCGCCCTTACAACCTAAAATAGAAAAATCTATGGCTTCTGTCCACTGGATGTTACTAGCTCAGATATCTGGAATTTTTTTCCAGTCTTGTCCACTGACAGGAAGCCTGTTCATAAACTCTCTTGGGTATGTGGATGAGTTAGTGTCAGTCCAAAACTGCTAAGATTTATAGATTTGTAGCAGGTAGTTATATTCATGATAGGCATGGATGGCGAGCAGTTAGCATTGAGGTGGCATCTCTTAGCTTATACTGTAGTAAGATGTGATTAGGTGCTGTTGGAAGAAAGATAGAAACACTTGTCAAAACCTTGTGTGTTTAAGAGAGTAGAAAAATTAAAGGGGTGCAGGAAAATTTGCCCTAAAGGGGGAATACTTTTAAAACTTGTAACTTGAAACACAGGCTTCTGGGTTTTTTTCCTGGAGATCTATGAAATTTTGTAGGACGCTTAGGGAGGGTTCAGGCATTAACTGAGCTAACACCGTACTGACAGACATACTGACAGCTGGTACACCATACTAGACAGACACATGGAGAGTGGCTATTGAAGATCAAGGAGCCACAGAGCTCC